CGACCACGTATTATCTTGCATTTGATGCAGTTGAGTTTTGCTGCAAACGATAGCGGAAACATCATCAGTTTGCAGTGAAATGTATATCCTTTCAGTTTCGGGTGACGTGACAGTGTTTAAACAGCATTCAATGCAAATAACGTCAGTTGTCCGAATCGTGTTCCGTTTTTGAGTAAACCAACATCTTTCAACATTTTACAGACGTAAATCAACCAACGACCATTAATAATTACCATTCAACAAACGCCCATCAACTAACAGTGAACCACAACACACAACAATAACGACAATACATCTGTCAAAAAGTATCCATCACACAACATCCATTACACAACCCCAATTGCACATCATCACCCAAAATCCATAACACAACACCTATAACACAACACCCATCACACAACACCAACCACACAACAACCATCACACAACATCCAGCACACAACATCCAGCACACATCATCCATCACAAACCAACTATCACACAACACCCATCACACAACACCAATCACACAACACCTATCACCTAACACCCATCACACATCACCTTTCACACAACACCTGTCACACAACATCAATCACACAACATCCATCACACAACAACATCAATCACACAACAACCATCACACAACACCCTTCACACATCACCCATCACAAAACAACTATCACACAACACCCATCACACAACACCAATCACACAACACCTTTCACCTAACACCCATCACACATCACCTTTCACACAACACCTGTCACACAACATCAATCACACAACATCCATCACACAACAACATCAATCACACAACAACCATCACACAACACCCTTCACACATCACCCATCACAAAACAACTATCACACAACACCCATCACACAACACCAATCACACAACACCTTTCACATAACACCTATCACACAACACCTGTCACACAACATCAATCACACAACATCCATCACACAACACCATCAAACAACATCAATCACACAACACCCTTCACACATCAACCATCACACAACATCCATCACACAACATCCATCACACATCCATTACACAACATTACACAACCATCACACAACACCCAGCACACAACACCAATCACACAACAACCATCACACAACACCCATTACACAACATCCAGCACACAACATTACACAACATTACACAACCATCACACAACACCCAGCACACAACACCAATCACACAACAACCATCACACAACACCCATCACACAACACCCATCACACAACATCCATCACACAACACCAATCACACAACATCCATCACACATCCATTACACAACATTACACAACACCCAGCACACAACACCAATCACACAACAACCATCACACAACACCCATCACACAACACCCATCACACAACATTACACAACCATCACACAACACCCAGCACACAACACCAATCACACAACATCCATCACTCATCAAGCACACAACACCCATCACACAACACCAATCACACAACACCTATTACATAACACCTATCACACAACACCTGTCACACAACAACCATCACACAACACCCATCACACAACACTCATTACACAAAATTACACAACCATCACACAACACCCATCACACAACAACTATCATACAACATCCATCACACAACGACCATCACACATCCATCACACAACATTACACAACACACATCACACAACAACCATCACACAACATCCATCACACAACATTACACAACAACCATCACACAGCAACCATCACACAACATCCATAACACAACACCCAGCACAACATCCATCACACAACATTACACAACACCCATCACACAACATCCATCACACAACAACCACCACGCGACAACCATCACACAACAACCATCACACAACAACCACCACACAACATCCATCACACAACATCCATCACACAACAACCATCACACAACACCCAGCACACAACATTACACAACATCCATCACACAACAACCATCACATAACAACTATCACACAACTATCACACAACAACTATCACACAACAACCATCACACAACATCCATCACAAAACACCCAGCACAACATCCATCACACATCCATCAAACAACAACCATCACACAGCATCCATCACACAACACCAAGCACACAACAACCATCACACAACAACCATCACATAACACCCATCACACAACACCCATCACACAACAACCATCACACAACACCCATGACACACAACAACCATCACACAACAACCACCACACAACACCAAGCACACAACACCCATCACACAACACCCATCACACAACATCCATCACACAACACGAATCACACAACATCCATCACACATCCATTACACAACATTACACAACCATCACACAACACCCAGCACACAACACCAATCACACAACAACCATCACACAACACCCATCACACAACACCCATCACACAACATTACACAACCATCACACAACACCCAGCACACAACACCAATCACACAACATCCATCACTCATCAAGCACACAACACCCATCACACAACACCAATCACACAACACCTATTACATAACACCTATCACACAACACCTGTCACACAACAACCATCACACAACACCCATCACACAACACCCATTACACAAAATTACACAACCATCACACAACACCCATCACACAACAACTATCATACAACATCCATCACACAACGACCATCACACATCCATCACACAACATTACACAACACACATCACACAACAACCATCACACAACATCCATCACACAACATTACACAACAACCATCACACAGCAACCATCACACAACATCCATAACACAACACCCAGCACAACATCCATCACACAACATTACACAACACCCATCACACAACATCCATCACACAACAACCACCACGCGACAACCATCACACAACAACCATCACACAACAACCACCACACAACATCCATCACACAACATCCATCACACAACAACCATCACACAACACCCAGCACACAACATTACACAACATCCATCACACAACAACCATCACATAACAACTATCATACAACTATCACACAACAACTATCACACAACAACCATCACACAACATCCATCACATAACACCCATCACACAACACCCATCACACAACACCCAGCACACAACATTACACAACATCCATCACACAACAACCATCACATAACAACTATCACACAACTATCACACAACAACTATCACACAACAACCATCACACAACATCCATCACAAAACACCCAGCACAACATCCATCACACATCCATCAAACAACAACCATCACACAGCATCCATCACACAACACCAAGCACACAACAACCATCACACAACAACCATCACATAACACCCATCACACAACAACCATCACACAACACCCATGACACACAACAACCATCACACAACAACCACCACACAACACCAAGCACACAACTCCAAGCACACAACAACAACCACACAACAACCACCACACAACAACCACCACACAAGAACCATCACACAATAACCATCACACAACAACTATCACACAACACCCATCACACATCCATCACACAACGGCCATCACACAATATCCATCACACAACTACCATCACACAATACCCATCACACAACAACTATCACACAACAACCATCACACAATAATCATCACACAATAATCATCACACAACAACCATCACACAACAACCATCACACAACATCCACCACAAAACACCCAGCACAACATCCATCACACAACATTACACAACATCCATCACACATCACCAATCACACAACAACTATCACACAACACAACACCCAACACACAATACCCATCACACAACACCCAGCACAAAACAACTATCACACAACACCCAGCACCCATCACACAACATCCAGCACAACATCCATCACACATCCATCACACAACATTACACAACATCCATCACACATCCATCACACAACACCCATCACACAACAACTATCACACAACACAACACCCAACACACAACACCCATCACACAACATTACACAACATCCATCACACATCATCCATCACACAACATCCATCACACAACATCCATCACCAATCACAAAACACCCAGCACAACATCCATCACACATCCATCACACAACATTACACAACATCCATCACACAACATCCACCACACAGCACCCAGCACACAACACAACACCAAACACAACACCCATCACACAACACCCATCACACAACATCCATCACACAACATCCATCACCCATCACACAACATCCATCACACAACATTCATCACACAACATCCATCACCCATCACACAACATCCATCACACAACACCCATCACCCATCATACAACATCCATCACACAACACAAACCACGCAACTAAAAATGGGTCAAACATTCTTCAGACATGTTTTGACAGACATTAAACGACATTAAAACATGACAAATCATAAATAATTTATTGTGTCAGTATGAACAATATATTGTGAATAGAAAAGAGAAAAAATGCACATATCATAAACAAAATTAGAGTAGAAAAAAACATCGATTTATGTCTAACTTTCAAATATTGCAGATCCTAGAGTCTCACGATGTATTTAAATCACGTGTTGGGCCAAAAAACACAGCTGACTTCGTGTTGTTCTCACGTGAAATAGACATGCAAGAACCTATTGATGAAGTCGAACTGAAAATATTTCATTGACCAATGTCATTAAAATCAGATCTAAGTTCACGCTGCCGCTAAACAAAGATTTGAGGACATCCCATTACGGGTCACGTCAAGAACGACTTTTCGTTAACTTTGACCGACCACTGAAACCACTAACAAGAAGTCGACATCAGCCAATTAGAAAGCAGCTTTCACGAGTTTACGACACTCGTTTAAACCTGGCGACTTCCATGTCAGACAACGCTTGTAAAATATGTTGACACAGTTCTCGATTAATATTTTGAAAACTGAACAAACGAACATTCCGCAATGTCTAATATATGGTTGAGATTGTATGGCAATGCTTCCAACGTACTGTGCAACGCCTCCTCCGTTCAAATCTTTATCCCACGGAAGCGAGATATCGACGATATTTTTGACGGAATCAGTCGTACGGGCCGTAACTTAGATCTGATTTTAATGAGATTGTTCATTGACTGTAGTGATATTGAAAATATCTTATTATATATTCCACTGTTTGAGTTAGACCTCCTTATTCCGGACGGTACTATTTCAAGTCAAATTGTTCGGATGAGCCTATCAACGTAGTAGTAAAGTCCCTTTAACTGTTTGTAATTGTTTCCAATGTTCGGAAGATAGGGTATCCGGATAAAAGGGGTCCGGACTAAAGAGGCGTTAGTGTATATGAAACTTGTATTAATGAAGAGGTTGGCGTTGAAGCGAATATAACAGAGACTTGGCTAACCACCATATCTTCATTCATATTAACTGAAGGCATTCGTCCCCACTCGTCCCTTTCCGTGGCCTGCCATTCGGCTTGTCTCGGAAAGTCTCGAGTTACAAGGAACATTATCATAGGTGTGTACCATTGTGCAACTGGAGAAGTTTTCAATTATAATGGTTTTTGTTTAACCTTTAGGTAGATGACGATCTAATGATGATAGTAGTCTCTTCACTTCCTTGAGATGATGCACAGTTTAGGACAATAGGGTAAATTTGCATCCTCCTCCGTGAAATGCATGCCCGAACTCATTACATGTAATAGGCAACTGATATATATTTAGCAGTGTTGTGGCATGGACAAGAACAAATAAATCACGATTTTCTCATATTTTTTTCTCACAGAAAGAATTAAATATTAACAGATAAATTAGATGACCTGGTCATGCAAAGCTGTGAGAAAGTCATACTTGGACACATGTTTTAATAGTCTGTCCACCGAAGCGTACAAAGACCAGGCATTGTTTCTGTTCTCGGCGTGTTTCGTTAGGTCACTTGAATCTCTTCCGCGTCGAGGGAGTCAGTTTTCCTCCTTTCGTGAAGTTTTCCTCCAAATTTAAACTGGCGCCTATCATGACATCGCAATATGGCGGGATTGTTCGGATGTTGCGTGCGCAGATGCAGGAAGTGCTCCTCGGGGTCGTCAGTTGAATGGCCACATTCCTCACACACATACACTTTAGTCCTGCGTTCATTGAAGGCAAACATGAACATCATTCCGTGAATCTTCTTCCCATGGGACTCCAGGGAGCATCGCTGTGTGAAGGCCTTTCCACAGATGTCACACTTGTAAGGCCGCACGCCTGACAATTAATAAAAAAACACCTGTTGACTGTTCAAAGTGCTCTTGAAAGGCAAATAATAATTATGATTATTATGATTATTATGATTATTATGATCAAGTGAGTGAGGTTTCAAACCGCTTTTAGCAATATTCCAGCAAAGTCACGATGGGGGACACCCGAAATAGGCTTCACACATAATAATAATAATAATAATTATAATAATAATAATAATCATAATCATAATAATAATAATAATAATAAATGATGATAATAATAATAATAATAATAATGTTTCATTGTTAGTTTGTTGTATATATACTTATATATACTTTTATTCCTCCATAGGAGAGTTACAAGGTATAATATTAAAGATAATTACATGACAATAATTACATTGTCAGAGAATACCACCATATACCACTGTGGTAACGGATTTTCTTAGTAATTTCCGTCCATATATTGAAAACGGTAGAGTCCTCGAATTACACTTCGTGAGTAAGAGCGACAGGTATCTGGATCAGTATCCAAAGGTGGCTTACAGGACAACAAACAAGCTGCAAGATCATAGTCTGATTTGCTGTGGAGTTCAACGCTGATGTCAACGGGACCTATACACACAATGTCACACCATAAGTTCTCTCTAATTGTTTCCTTAATCACACAGTGGCACAGTACGTGAGTCAGTAAGTCATGGTAGTTAATACCACAATGTGTACAGGTACCATGTAATTTCCCCGGTCTCCACATCGCACACACGTGGACAACAGGCAGCTGCCTTTAGCTCAGGATACTTGTTTAGGTGTCTTTTTGTTACTGCCTTGTTTTGCGCAACACGTATCTAAACTAGATTGCCTTTCGAATTGAACCACAAAGTAGGTTGGTCATGAGTTCAAACTCATCTTACTTATAAGAGTTGTTGTGACAATAGTCATAGAGCATGTTAGTGTACAGCAAAACCTACCTGCCTACCTGCATAGCTGCATCCCAAGTGCCTGGATCGATGTTCATGATGTCAATCACTGGATTGTCTGGTCAGACTCGATTATTTACAGGCCGCCGTCATATAGCTTGAATATTGCTGAGTGCGGCGTTAAACAACAAACAAACAAAACCCTACCTACCTACCTACCTACCTACCTACCTACCTACCTACCTACCTACCTACCGAACTACCGAACCCGTGAAGATCTGGGAAGAGAACAGGTCTTCAGCAACCCATGCTTGGCGTAAAAGGCGACTACACTTGTCGTAAGAGGCGACTAACGGGATCGGGTGGTCAGGCTCGCTGACTTGCATCGTATCCATAAACAATGTCAATCACTGGATTGTCTGGTCTAGACTCGGTTATTTACAGACCGCTGTCATATAGCTGGAATATTGCTGAGTGCGGCGTTAAACAACATTTTATTCGCTGACTCTAAACATGTCGCCATGACGTACCTGTATGAGTGCGTGTATGCCGCTTCAGATCGAATGTGTCGTTGAAACCCTTTCCACAGACTGTACACAGGAACCGCTTTATCTCCTTGTGTGTCTTCAGGTGTTTCTGCAGCAATCGTGGGGTGTCCGTCTTGAACCCACACAAGCTGCACGTGTGACAGGGCTCTGACGTCATCAGGTACGCAGGGGGACTATCTGTTGCATGGAGAGAAGACCCCTTTACAATAAACCCTGTCATTGTTCATGCTGCTTTAATTCACAATACAAATATGTAAGGGAGTTATTAGTATACGTCACGACTGCAATATATCATACAGATTACGCAGTGAGTGAGTTGGGTTTAACGCCGCTTTTAACAGTATTCCAGTTATATCACGGCGTGTCAGCTTAATGTGGGAGGAAAGCCCGAAGTGATGCAGGTCTCAGACGTTTACCACTTCGGTGAAACCCACGAGCAAGGGTATGGTGCTGACAAACCTAGAAACATAATCGGGCCGAACCTGGATTCGAACCCACAATCATAGGTTTCTGGCGTGCCAAAGGGACGCAACTCTGCACAGCGAATCGCGGCGCCTTAGACGACTAGGCCACCCGTGTCCCCATTCAGATAACGACGAAATTAAGTTAAAAATGAATGAACATGCATCAGTGGTTGGTTGGTTTGTTGTTTTACGCCGCACTCAGCAATATTACAGCTATATGACGACGGTCTGTAAATAATCGAGTCTGGACCAGACAATCCAGTGATTGACATCATGAGCATCGATCTACACAATTTGAATCGATTACATGCATCAACCAAGTCAGCGAGCCTGACCACCCGATCCCGTTAATCGTCTCTTACGACAAGCATAGTCGCCTTTTACGGCAAGCATGGGTTGCTGAAGAGCTATTCTACCCCGGATCTTCACGGGTCGTCATCAGTAGACAGTAAGATAAATATAAACTGCCGGACTAACAAAACTATACATCCATGTTTGATGGTGGTTGAATATCTAACAAATAAGAAATGGTAATTGGTAATGTATTTGATAGGGGAATCAAAATTACCTTCTTGGCCTAAGCTTGCAGAGTTTCGCGACTATTTTTAGACTAGTAACGCTTTCATAAGGTTTGTAATATTTTGGTCAAATCCAACTTTATAATTTCTTTTGCCAGGCAGTTTACATTAATGAAACCTCTAATCAATAGACAGTGAGATTATTATATAACTGTTCACTCACTCACTCACTCACTCACTCACTCACTCACCACCCACCCACCCACCCACTCAGCTCAGCTCAGCTCAGCCCAGCCCAGCCCAGCCCAGCCCAGGCCAGCCCAGCCCAGCCCAGCCCAGCCCAGGCCAGCCCAGCCCAGCCCAGCCCCAGCCCAGCCCAGCCCAGCCCAATCCAACCCAACCCAACTCGCTCAGCACTCACAAAATATAGAAGTACTCACGAATAGCGTGCACATCCGGGTGAATAGCACCTGGCTTCTCGTTGGTCAACAATGGATTCTTGATCCCAAAACCATTGTTGATGACTTCAACCTTAATCCCTGTTGGCTGGAATGGATAAGATTAACTAATCATACCGCCATCAGTTTTTCATCGAGATGGATGTTCGATCGCCGCCTCATTTTCAAAGAAGATATTCAAAGCTTTCACTTTTCATTTTACTTCATTCTAAAATGAATTCGACCACAGTTCAGCATTGCATTAATAGTTTTCCAAAATTTGTTTCTTCGAAATATTCTTACCTTTGGATAGGGTGTAACGCGCTCTCTGATGGGAAAACAAGGGACTGGCGCTTTTAACAAGCCTTGTGATTGGTCACCTTGCCTGGTCATCAGGTCAACCGGACCCATATGGGAAGACGGATGCATTGGAATTGCCGCACTGTTGAAGGACGACGGTTCGTCCGCCATTACTGTTGAAGAAGGTGACGGTATTTCCGCAGGGGAGAGAACTCCGAGAGGCGAAGGTGTTTTCCCAGCGTAAGGTGAGATCCAGGTATTAGGCGATGAGTTGAAAGGGGGTGGAGTTGGCAGCCAATTTGGAGGTGGTGAATGAGCGTGCATAAAAGACGCTGGGTGCGCATGCCCATGCACATGCGCATGCATAACATGATTCCACAAAACTGGCGGTCGGAGGGTTGGAAGATGCGGAAAATGGGGAAGGGCGCCGTAGTCATTATGCCCCCGTCTTGAAGGGATGTGTTCTATTTGCGGGCGGCTAAAGGCCGTGCTAAAGTGGGGTTGGTTAAGTCTTGGTGGGAACTGGAAAATATTGGACGTTATGGTATCATCTCTTGTGGGAGATAAAACCTCAGCGTCCTTGCTTGCTTTCCTAACAGGTACAACCGGAGCCTTTTCTTCTTTTGTGTCATCTGAAATACGATAAAGAAGCTTTAAAATGCAGTTTCAGAAATTAAATGCATATATGATTAGCTATTGAGTGTGGGCTGCATTGTGATGCTAATCCTTTTGATGAGAGCGTACACTTTGAAATTATGCTCCCCGTGAATCCCGTTTGGTATTGTGTTACACAGTGAAGACACCTACAGAAAGGAGGCGCTTATGTTCAAACACACACACACTCTCTCTCTCTCTGCTGATGTGTTGGGAAATTAACACATTCTTGCATCACCGACATTTGTACCAGCATGCACATGGCTATGCTACAACCCCTCCATGTTATAAGATCGTCCGGGACTTTTTGCATTTAAAGTAGGATTAAGGTGGATTACCTGTGCATGTTCCAAGCAAGATAAACATGTCGCTGCGCACTTTTATTGAAATGTTATTTCCTTCACATACAGGCGGTGTCATAAACGTGTTGATACAAGATTACGGCACATTCACGTCTTTGACTGGGAATTTATGTGGTGCAGCAATGTTGCAGGACGAGATATCCTATCTTCTGTGAAACTGTGTTACACATGGAGGCTTAACGTGATCCTGTACTTAAGCAGACATTGGGCCATTTAACCCCGACTTCTCAACACAATACACCACTGCTTTTAACGTTTAATCGAAAACCTGCCTAGATTCAAACAACAATACAGCTGTCCAATCCTTAACGTAAGGTGTTTAGCATTACAACAGGTTGTTTTATGAAAATATTTATTTTCGAGGCGGTAAATACATTTTTCATTTTCATGTACTATTTTTCAATTTCAAGTTTAGATACACCGAGAAGAAATTGAACAAGAAGGTATGTTAACAAGGGTATATAACGTTTAATGTACATTCCTTATTTACAAATTAGGTGCCTCTTTCCCGGAGTTGGGGCCACGGGTGGCCCAGTCGTTTAAGGCGCCGCGATTCGCTGTGCAGAGTTGCGTCCCTTGGGCACGCCAGAAACCTATGATTGTGGGTTCGAATCCTGGCTCGCCCCGATCATGTATCTAGGTTTGTCAGCACCAAACCCGTGCTCATAGGTTTCACCGAAGTGGTAAATGTTTCAGACCTGCATCACTTCGGGCTTTCCTCCCACATTAAGCTGACACGCCGTGATATAACTGGAATAATGTTAAAAGCGGCGTAAAAACCCAACTCACTCACTCACCTTTCCTGAAGTGAGTGAGTGGATTTGTTTTGCATTGAGCAGTATTTTAGTCACGTTATTTCCGCAAGTATCAGACGTTTATTACTTTGGTACAACTTACGAGTACGGACATGGTGCTTTCAATGCAAAACATTTTCGAACTCGAACTTACTATCATAGGCTCCTTGCACGCCTAAGGGGCGCAACTCTGCCTCGCTAATTGCTTAGATAGTGTTTAAGGGAGCATGTGGTGCTAACGATGTGTTATATAAATAACGAATTATATATATACAACTTACGTCCAAAGTTATGCATGTGCATTTGACTACATATGTATACACAAACTGATAACCTTATTGAATATTTTTTAACGCCATATCAGCTCTTTTAAACCTACACTCGGAGAAAACAAGCACTGCATTGAAGACTCGGGGATATTCATTTCCACCTCAGTACGTAATCTTTGCCTCGTCATCGTTAAAGTCAGGTAAATCTGTCTGAAATATGTAATATAGACGCTCGTCACATTATGATGCTGTAAGGCTTACGACAATGGTATGGGGATTGGCACATTTGTAATTTATATCGTCATTTAGGATAGCCTTACACCTCGATGGCACATTAATCCTCCAGCGGTACGATTTACCCACCGTCCTTTGTCGTCTCAATGTTCTCACTGTGTTTTTGTGAATGATGAAAGATTAATTTTTCACCAACACATTTCCCACATACTTTATATGGTGAGGTGTGTTCCTCATTGAAACAGATACGAAAACTATTCATTCTACTCTTTTAATAAAAAAAAGTGGTTTATATAATATTCCTTTGACATTTTAACAATTAAAACACATTTATCATACAGACATTTTATAAAGCATAAAGAAAGAATGGTTTCCAAACGTCATCTTTAATGGGTATTTTGGAGACATAGCATAACTTCTTATATATATATGATAGATGTTTTTTTGTTGACAGAAGGTGCTAGTTCTGCAATGGACATTTGTTGAATAACATCGACAAACCCTTTTCATAATCATGAGAAATCTCTGTTGAAAGCAATGTGCATTGTACTATTTCGACTATATCACAAGCACGTGTTTGAATCACTATCAAACAGTAAGTGAGTGAGTGAGTTGGGTTTAACGCCGCTTTTAACAGTATTACAGTTATATCACGGCGTGTCAGCTTAATGTGGGAGGAAAGCCCGAAGTGATGCAGATCTAAGACGTTTACCACTTCGGTGAAACCAACGAGCACGGGTATGGTGCTGACAAACCCTGAAAATATAATCGGGGCGAAACGGGATTCGAACCCACAATCATAGGTTTCTGGTGTGCCCAAGGGACGCAAGTCTGCACCTCGAATCGCGGCGCCTTAGACGACTGGGCCACCCGTGCCCCCCTATCAGATAGTGATGATAACATGTTTTCGCCTAAAGGTGAGCGTAGCCTGCTCCACCAGTAACGCCCGCCACAAACACATGCAACCTCAAACCAAGTGCTCACCTAAACAGACACGGGTGAGTGAGTGAGTGAATATGGTTTTACGCCGCTTTTAGCAATATTCCAGCAATATCACGGCGGGGGACACCAGAAATGGGCTTCACACATTGTTACATGTACCCATGTCGGGAATCGAACCCGGGTCTTCGGCGTGACGAGCCAACGCTTTAACCACTAGGCTACCCGACCGCCCCTAAACAGACACGGGAACATATGGTACAAGTCAAAATAGGGAACTGCATCGGACATCATATTTGTCACTGATGCGTCAAATTTGGAACTGTCCTTCACAAGTTTACCATAAAATTTCTTTCTCGTCACTGAGGCCTTGAATGTTGTACCCTTGAACAACCAACTTCTGAACAAGAGTTGTATGACATTCTTTGAAATCTTGGTAGAAAGAGCATGCTCGAGTGTACCTCAAACTGTGAAATGTAGACATCGCGGGTTGGCCGCAGGAATATTTCTCGACATAAAGGTGAGGTGAGGTGAAATTGGGTTTAACGTCGCGTCCAAGATTATTGCACTTATATAGCGACGTGCATGCACGTGTATGTGTGTGTGTGGCTGCTTGTACAAGTCCGGACTGATGCCGATTTATAGTGCTAGCTCACTGAGATACCATGCCGCAGTTTAACATGAATACCCCACTCAGACACAGTGTACTGACTCCGAGCCGACCAGTCCTTGTTTTAGCCCCTTAATGCCGAGCGCCAGACAGGGTAACAACATCGACATAAAGGAAAAGTTGAAGTCATTTATCTTGTCATACAGTCTTGTGGAGAATGTTTTGTCACTCTGAATGTTTATGCATAGATCTAAATATGAAACAGATGAAGCGGCCTGACTGGCCTCCTTTCTGTCCAGTTTAGGTAGGTAAGTCAGTGGAAGGGAATGATATGGTACAGGTCAAAACAATAACGATTACAGAAACACCTTATTGCAATCTCCTTCATAATAAGACATTTACAAATTAGAAAAATAATAATGTTTTCTTCGCAAAAGTGTTTCTGTTATTTCTTGTTGTGTAGGAAATATATCATACAGTGATTAGCACCCATACTATAACTTAAGAAAGTATTGTGACTTTGTAACATTCTCGTATCACACTGAAATATCAAATCTGAAATTGCCAAACGGGCGGATTTGCGTAAGAAGTGCTGCTAAATAAATATATTCTTTCGCGGTAATGCAGTCATCAGCAAGATCGCAGCAAAATACAGAATTCTAAAATGTAATTGTAGAATTATTAATGATATAGCATTATCGTGAAAAAAACAGAGTTAGGAAACCCTTTGAAAAAACTTTAAAGTCCAGCCAGTCAAATAACAAGATTAAAAAAAATATGTTTTCCCAAAACTACATCAAGAATAAAGACGAGGACTGACTTCTGTGCACGGCAAGATTACAAAGAAGTTTTTCAGAACCCCATGCGTGAATTGTGAACAGCACACACGTTGAGTGTTTATCACATGTTTAAGTAATTAATGTCTACAGGTGAGTTGCGTGGATGGGTGTGATGTGGGTGTAAGATGGGAGGAGGGATGGTAGCTCGGATCCCGCCCTCTGTAGCGATGAGGTTTATTTAACGCAGGTACACGTCCTTCAGCCCTTTGGCGATACGCTCAATGTGGATCCTTTTTTAAAAGGTCATCATTCCGTGTTTGAATTATTTAACCCCAGAAAAATATTATGATAAAATGTATATAATGGGCTATAGAAATACTGAATATCCATACACAACAGCACCTCAACAGTTACATGTGTGGTGAGTGAATGGGGGCTGGGCGGTGCATAGGAACTAACATCAAATAGCCGGTACAAAATAGTTCCTTTTTTATCATTGCCAACACGGCTCCTTCGAACTGACACAAAGTTTTCTATCTTCTAAAAAACTTATCCCGAAAATAACTCACGTTTGACGAAAAGAAATACGTTTATGGTAAACGTTTCTTTAATTCTGTATTCCTTCATGACGAAAGTGATATAGTTTAATTCATACAAGCAAACATCGCTTGGCGTATTTCTGGTTTTTTTCGCTCATGATGGGCTAATGTTTAACAAAGCGGTAAATAAAAACTGACGTACTTTTCGAACGTGTTGTGACAGAATGTAAATAATTTATTATAATATGTCGATTATAAAGTGTTATATTTTCATTTGACATATGTCGAGGTCTGTAACCTCCATTTGGTTATTAAATATTAATGCAGGTCTATTGATGATTTGCAAACTTCCTCCCAAAGAGGTCGTGATTGAGAATGTTATGATACAGGCGTTTGTGAGTAAATAATTAATTAGGCTTGGAAGTAAGAATTTGAGCGCCCAGCTTACTGAC